TTGCACTCAGTGTTACTGATATTGTGAATAATACATTGACTAGTACTGGTACTATACAATCACTAGATGCATCATTAAATGAAACCACGATTGGCTGTTCAGCTACTCTTTTAAATGAAGCTTTTGTTACATTCACCATCAAAATGACAGGTAATAGAAAATTTTATAATTTTATTATAGCTAATACTTTATATGAATAGGTCCACCAGTATCAGTATCGATTGTTAATATAACATTTAATCCCATTAGCAATAGTGCACTAACAATGAGTTGGTCATTATACACACAGGATTACAATTGCAGTATAAATGAGTACAATATCACAATATACAGCAATGGGACAGACTTTAAACAGGAGTCTGTGAATGATATTACATCATATACTATTGATACTCTTATTACTGGTAATAATTATTCATTTATTATTATTCCTATTGATACTATTGGAAGAGAAGGACCTCCTTCATCATTAATACAGTATATATGGAATGGTAAGTACTATATACACACACACACACTCATTGTATTTCTTATAGTACCAGCTCAAGTTGTTAATATTAGTTGGTATCAGATATCAACTGATAGTATTACAATATGGTGGAATAACAATAAAGTAAGTTGAAATTATTGTTATTTATGATAACAATAGATTCCATCAGGATACTACAACATTACGTCCTCCTATTGAGTATTACATTATTAATGTATACATTACAACAATTTGTATTAATAGTTGTTCTGTGTACAGTTATAATGTAACAGATACTAATACTACTATTACTGGACTATCTCCTATTAATGAATACTACACTGTTACTATCATACCTGTTAATGTTATTGGATATGGACCATCAGTCACTGTTAATGGTATATAGCATCAGTACCTAATATGATGGTTAGATACATATTATTACTATAGTCAGTATAACCACTACTACATCAAGTATCACTAACATTATGATGAGTACTACTGAGTATATCACAACACAAGATAAAAGCTCAGCTATGACAGCATTACCAACCATCACGATTACAATGACTGAAACAATCAGTAGTTGTACTGACAGTAAGTTATAATGATCAGGACACAGTGAACATATTGTTCATTAGGTTCTTCTTCATGCATTACCACAACAATGTCCCAATCAACAGATGAAGGATCCATTAGTGGTTAGTTAATACATTAAGTGTATCTAATCTATTACACACACACAGTTG